ACTGCTATGTTCATTATTGCATCCAACAACAGAACACCTCAATCGCTTAGGAGTCATTCTTGTCTACATCTGCTCCAGCAGTGAAACAATGGCGGACTGATGACAGCTCACTCAGGGCGGGTCTGAGGTAAGACACCAGTCCAGTCTGTGCTGAAACGCTACTGTCAATCAAACTATCGTGGGAGGGGCCTGTTTTTGTGATGTCACACAGACAGGCATCTGAGATCGGCTCGATTTGAGAAAGGGGAAAACATTTAACAAGATTTTAAAAAAACACTGGGTGGATTTTTATCATTATAGGGTGGTTGTGTACACACACTGCCAACACACATTTCAGTTCAAACAACTTGTAAAAGTGCATGTAGCATCCTATGACCCCTTTAACAATGCAAATGAAAAAGGTCATATCATCATACTTCTATTATTTTAACTTTCCCCTTAGTTTCAACTATGGCAGTCGAGGTTTATTAATTTATAAATAAAAATTTAGTTTTTTAATTAGGTTAACTTTTTTCACCCTCTCTGACCCTTAGAATTCAACAGGACAATTTTTGCTGCCCTGCCCTTAAGACTTAAACACTTTCTTCTATAAATGAGATTTCTAGAAATTAGCATTTTGCTGCATTTATTTTTGGGAAGAGCATTTGCTGGCAGGTTCAATATAGTTTGCATTGCTCCATTCTTTGTTAAGCATGAATTACATTGGGACAGGTTTGCAAACCAATTTGTACTGAAATGTGCTGTTCAGAGACTTTGTTTAAAACTTCAGCCACTCTTTTCTAATGCTGGGATCCCTTGTAATCAAATGCAGAGCAGAAGGTGCTACACACAGCCAGGAACAGCACAAGTTTGGACTTAATTTACTCTTATTGATTTGTATTTTTGTGTTTAGCTATAATAGTATATGCTGCTTTTTCTTATTATTGTCTCACTGAGCCAAAGTTTTGAAAACCAAATAAGCATAGTTGACGTCTAAATGTGGTTATACTGTATTCTACCTGACATCAAGAGGTGCAGAGTAATTCAGAACGAGCCATTTCAACTTAGTCTTATTGAAAAAATTCATCTTTTATGATATATAACCCATTCAAAGTTAATGTTGGACTTGAGTAACTTGATGAAAGAAAGATGGTTCTTTCAAATACTTCAGTGAGTTGCACTGACATTTCTTCATAATGCATCACGATGTCTGCTCCCCCTGTCAGCATGGCTGAAGTCAGAGGAGGTGTGATTTCTCAGGTCCCTCAGCTTTGCAGTACTTTAATTAGCCCTGACTGTCATCTTCACACACTCCCAAGGCTCTGGGGCCGCTGGGATGTCACACAGTCGGCACAGGTTGTCCACACCGCTGGACCCCATTTGCTCATACAGAGTTGATTAAATGTGAGGAGGATAAGAACGTTGTCTCTGATCCTTCACCCTTTGTCTTTAATCCACAGAAAATAAACTTTTTAATTTCCAGTGGCACTTGAATTGAGATTTATGTCCATAAATATAAAAAAATATATTAATAACCATGAAACTGTATTTTGCATTATTGTTCTATAAAATGATTCTAAATTTATTTTATTTATTTATAATAACTTTTATTTATGATTTGTTATCTTTTAATGTAAATACGGAAATTCAAGAAAAATGTCTGTTTTCAAAATTGAGTTTCAAGCATCTGCCATTGTTTAAACAAACAGGTAGTCCCATGCCAAACTAAAGTCCCTTTAGGCAAGTAATTCACTCGGTGGCCATCTTTGAAACGCATGTCGGGCATGAAAGTGCAGCTCTTCTTATTACTGTATTACTGTAGGTTTTACTGTATTAACCTACAGTACTGTATTACTGAATTACTGTAGGTTTGTGGTTAACACAAGCTCAAAATATTTTCACATTTTATTGTATGACATAATATACAACAGTAATACCCCAGTTGTGAATGTTTTAAAGCTTTTACTTGGCCTTGAAAAGGCGGATGCTAACAAGTGGCTAAATTGGACTACAGACTGAAAGGGACATTCAACTTCAACTTTGAAGTTTGTGTACATTTGTGTAGTTCATTTTTAGCCTACATATAGCTTTTCAATGCTGCCGATTGTATTTAGGATTCAACATTTAAAATTCAAATGTTGTGAAGATTATCATGATGAACAAAACATGTAAGAATCATAGTACTGGTAACAGCTTACTTTCTGCAATAATCAAAAAGTCAATGGAAAAATCCTATTGGGTTTTTGTCGAGGGAACCGGGGTGATGCTAACTTCTGGGTTGGACTACAAATATATGACATTGCGGCACTCTATGCACCACACATACTGTTCAAATCAGACTGAAATGATCGGTGAATGTGTTTAAAATGAAATTCAGTTGCCCACATGCCGAGAACCTTTTGAAAGAAATGCAGAGGGGCAGATGATAAATTCAAAAGTCTGTGCAGCTGAGTCCCTTTTTGGCATGAGAAGGAAGTTTTGAGTTCAGAAAGTTAGCGTGTTTTCAATGTACATCAAGCTCTTTTTTTTCGCAAAAGGTCAAGGTAAATTTGGTTTCCTTATGATAAAACCCCTTTAAAGTTCAGCCACCATTAGTGCGATGTGGGCTTGATGAGGTCACATGTGGGAAAATTGTATTTACGGTCATAAGGAGTGGTTCTATAAAAAAAAAATGTAAGTTTAACTTGTGTATTTCTATCTTTACTTTTCTTTGCAAGTTTCTCTTCAGTATCAGGCATGTTGAAATGGAAACTCTACAGACATTCTCAAAGACTGTCGATCAGCTATTAAAAAAAACATCTTAGTTGGCATACTCAATGAGTTTTCCTTCAACATGTCATTTTGTAAAAAACATTTGATGTGTCTTGTCCGCTAACGGCTGAGCATTAATTTCTACTCATTGTGGTAGTGTCTTTTCATTTCAAGCATGTGGCATAGAGAGATGATAAGGAGGTGTGATAGACTGGGTGATAGACTTCTTTAGATGACAGCACCTTTATCTATTGTTGCCTTATCGGCTCAGCTTCATCCAAACTCTGAATCGCATGCCTCTGCTGGGAAGACTGATAGAGAGTGTAGCAGAGAGAGCATGCTGTCCCACCATAGGACAACACATAAGAGCAAAATTTCAGAAGCTATTTTGGGGCACTTTTGTGAGAAAGTTTATTTTATTACATTTTTATTTTTTATAGCTATTTATTTATTTTGTTTCGGGGTTAAAAAAAAAAACCTTCTTCGGGGTGAGTTTTATTTTATTTTTTATTTTTTTAAGGTCGTGTTGCTGTTGTCGTTTCTCCCGTCATCATGGTTTGACACAGTCGTAATTTTGCACGAATGCCACAGTTATATCGGCATGCAGTTGGGGATATTGTTTTGAATCTTCTGTGGTGTTTGGCCTTGACAGTGAAAAATGATGATCTCTGTCTCTCACCTCCTCAGGTTGCAGTGTCATCCGCTCTGCAGGCAGCGAAGGTGTCTCCGCTCATCGAGAAAGTCAGTGACCATAAGGATTTCAAGAAACTTCTGAGAACCAGAACTAATGTTCTTGTCTTGTATACCAAGTCAGGTCAGTCACCACTGTTGTTTTTCAACAGCTTTAGCAGCCTAAAAAAGCCAAGATGTCTTGATATGCAACTGCTAATAAATGTGTTTTAGTGATCTCTAAGGTCAAAGGTATGTTTTTACGCTGCCTTCAAAAAAATGTGCTATTTAACTGAATGTGTTATTATTCGGGTTGCAACAAGGCTCAACAATAAAGATGGTCAACTGCCCTGTAATTGCAAAAATGACTTGCAATTTTTCTTAAAAGCATTTTGTGAAGAAGAAAAAAAAAGGAATATACATTGGGTATAGAAAAGAATCACCCCCCTTTATAATAATCACATTTTGTTGCTTTGCAGCCTGAAATGAAGACGGTATTTGACACAGTTTTTGTTTTATCCAGCTGCATTTACTCAGTGCAACTTATAACATCTAAGTGAAAGATATAACACCAACATGCAAGTTTTTCCAACTCAGTGATTGATTTTTTTTTTCTTCTTGACATGTTGGTGTTATATCTTTCACTTGGATGTTATAAGTTGCACTGAGTAAATACAGCTGGATAAAACCACAACTGTGCCCATCTTCATTTCAGGCTGCAAAGCAAAAAAAAAAGTGATTTTAAAGGGGGGTGTTTCTTTTCTATAACCACTGTAAGCAATATTATAGAAAATGCACTAGCAAAAAAATTAAGGAATATTATATAAATACACTAGAATAAATATGCTACCTTTTCAAAGGTTTGGGGGTCAGTTTTAATTAATACTTTTTTGAATAAATTAATACATTTTGAATAAATTAATTTATAGTTTTATTTTATTTTTTTCAGCAAGGATGCACTAAATTGATAAAAATGACAGTGTAGACATTTATAATGTTACAAAAAATATGTTCAAATACATTTGTCTATAATAACAGTCTATTCATCATAGAATCCTGAAAAAGGTATCATGGTTTACACAAATATATTAAGCAGAACATCTGTTTTCAACATTGATAATAATGAAAAATGTTTCTTGAGCACCAAATCAGCATATTAAAATGATTCCTGAAGGATCATGTGACACTGAAGACTAAAATAATGGCTGCTGAAAGTTCAGTTTCGCCTTCACAGGAACAAATTTAATTGTATATTAAAATATTAAATGTGTTAACATATAGTGTAAGTGTAATAATATTTCACACTATTTCTGTTTTTACTATAGTTTTAAATGAGTGCAGCCTTGGCGAGCACAACCGAAGTCTACCAAAAAATAAATACATTTATATATAAAAATATATACAAAAAATCGTACTGACCGCAGACTGTTTAACAGTAGTGTACATTGCTGAAAATAAAAATGGATCAGTTATTTTGTAGTGGGGCCAGTGATAATGTTGACTGGACAAGTAATCATAATTACTGGCCCAACTGGGACAGCAAGAATTTTTTTTTACTGTTGAGCCCTGTGTTAGCTATAAACATGCTGACTTTAACTTGCTCAGCAGGACTGTCTTCAATGTGTTGTTCTGCCATGACAGTGTTTAACCTGAAAGAGAAAACTCGCCATAGAGGCAGATTCTTTATGGTTATGCAGTGTGTACATTTAATTGTGATTTGCGTTCTGACACATTTCAGAACGTAATGAAGAAAATCAAGCTTGCGTTGCTAGAAGTGTATGTGTTACACGCCCTAAGGGAAAATGCATTGAGCAGGTATGATTCTGCTATATGCTAACAGACCTGTCATGCCACAATAGGTAGGTCAGCTTTGCTTTCACTGCCAAAAGCATGTTGGCGCCTTTAGATACTTGTCCTTATGTGCAGCACACTTGGAGTTCTCTCTACTTGCCACACTCATTAGATGTGAAAATCTAAATCTTATGGCCATAGACAGAGTACATAAAGATATTCAACACTCTAAACTCCTAAACACTCTAATGCATTGCTCTCTTCCAGCCATTAGAAAAAGAAAAAAAAACTACCCCTAACACTGCATATTCATTTGCATCTCTCCTGGGTGTTATTAGTAGAACCAGCAGGCAAAGTGCCATATATGGGTACCGTATGGATGAACGGTCCATAAACAATCTCCCACCCACAAAGCAAGGGAAAGAGCCTCTCAAGGTCTTGCTGTGCAAGATTTATTTGTTTCATAATTCACGACTCATTTCGAGCACATGAGGTCATTGGATAAGACTGTGTATCGAACAGTGCGTTTGATTGATGGCTGACTAGTGCTACTCATCTTGTAAAGCATTTCCATTAGATGCATCCTGCTAACTGTGATAGTTCCTTTAGACTGCAGGAATGCATTCATGATCAGGTGGTGCATAGGCACTTCTCATTCAAAAGGGTACAGGTTTCAACTCATTCTTTCGATTAAAACCCAAGACGAACTGAAAAACGGAACCACAGAAATCATTGTCCTTTTGACCTTGACCGATGTGATTTAATGGGAAGAAAAGCAGATTGTGGGTTCAGTGGTGTAGTAGAAGATCCCAGACTGTCACAATGTGTAAATCTGGGGTGTAGTGAAACTGTCACTGTGTTTTCACACGTAGTACTTTCACACTCTGTTCTGTTGTTTCGACGTGTAAAGTTGAAGTGTGTTGGCAAATGCTTTCATTATCAACAAGAGTACTACTGGTTAAAAAGCTATTAAAAATGGAGAACAACATTCACTTCACCTTTTCAGATTTTTTATTTTCTCATTTATTTATTCCTATTTGATCAATGCTTTTAGCTCTACTACCTATGTTTTTATCACCCAGTAAACACTGGAAAAATTGTGCTTGCTCTGATGACAGCTGGATGTGCAATTGTACAACCATGTATATGTAATCAGTAGTGTTTCATTTCCAGACCAGATTGCTTTTATAATGTGACCTTGAGTTTGCACCAATCAAAAAAACTAAAGGAACTTCATTTTATGGACATCTGCATTCATGTACTCACCAAATATTGTTGTATGTATAGAGGAATATAATAGCCTATAAAGCGACTTTAGTCTCAGATAAAGTAATTGACTAAATTAATTACCCTTTTTTATGTTTTACTGGATGTTTTAATGTTTTGAAAGAAGACTCTTATGCTCACTGAGGCTGCATTTATTTGATCTGAAATACAGGAAAAAGAAATATTATGAAATTACAATTTAAAATGTCTATTTTACTAATATATATACAGTGGGGAAAAATTGGCAAATGCTTTCATTATCAACAAGAGTACTACTGGTTAAAAAGCTATTAAAAATGGAGAACAACATTCACTTCACCTTTTCAGATTTTTTATTTTCTCATTTATTTATTCCTATTTGATCAATGCTTTTAGCTCTACTACCTATGTTTTTATCACCCAGTAAACACTGGAAAAATTGTGCTTGCTCTGATGACAGCTGGATGTGCAATTGTACAACCATGTATATGTAATCAGTAGTGTTTCATTTCCAGACCAGATTGCTTTTATAATGTGACCTTGAGTTTGCACCAATCAAAAAAACTAAAGGAACTTCATTTTATGGACATCTGCATTCATGTACTCACCAAATATTGTTGTATGTATAGAGGAATATAATAGCCTATAAAGCGACTTTAGTCTCAGATAAAGTAATTGACTAAATTAATTACCCTTTTTTATGTTTTACTGGATGTTTTAATGTTTTGAAAGAAGACTCTTATGCTCACTGAGGCTGCATTTATTTGCTCTGAAATACAGGAAAAAGAAATATTATGAAATTATTACAATTTAAAATGTCTATTTTTTCTGGATTTTTTTTTCTCATTTTGTCTCTCATAGTTGAGGTATACCTATGATGAAAATTACAGGCCTCTCTCATCTTTTTAAGTGGGAGAACTTGCACAATTGGTGGCTGACTAAATACTTTTTTGCCCCACTGTATATAATATATATATTAGTACTACAGATACAGTGAAACAGTTCTTGTTATCAATGTTGAAAATGGTTGTGCTGCTTAATATTTTTGTGGAAACATTTCAGGATTCTTTGATGAATAGAAAGAACAACATTTATTTGAAATGTAAATCTTTTGTAAAGAATGAAAGACATGAAATGTTAAACTACTAATTTACTGTCTCTGTCTAATTTCTTTTGAATGAATCATATTCGTATGTGAAAACATGACATTTGTAGACTTTTTTTCTATTTTTGTATGCATTCATATATTCCCCTGCAAAGATATTTTAGCTCTGAGTATCTGTTTACATGCAGTCTAATAATCCGTTATTAATCTGACGGATAGCGCAGTCAGAATGATGGCTTTCATGTAAACACTAGTCAAAATATTGTGCTAACAGATTTTCTCTCTTACACTTACACAGAGATCTTTTGAACTAGTAATGGCTCGCTTAGTAGACTATGAGAATGTAGATCAGAAGCACTAGCTAAATGTAAAAATATGTGTGTAAAATTATTAAAAATTAAAATAGTTTCTGTAATTTCATGTACTATAAAAAAAGAAATGATGGGAAATTAAGCGTTATAATTGAGGCTATTTATAGCATGAGCTCTACAGGTGACATGCAGGCTACCAGGTGCCGTGGGCACTGTGTTAGGGACCATTCACAAACACTGGATACAAGCTTATGATATTTAAAGGTTACAATAGTAGTAGTATACTTTATTGTCCTCGGATGGAAACTTTGATGAATAGAAAGAACAACATTTATTTGAAATGTAAATCTTTTGTAAAGAATGAAAGACATGAAATGTTAAACTACTAATTTACTGTCTCTGTCTAATTTCTTTTGAATGAATCATATTCATATGTGAAAACATGCCATTTGTAGACTTTTTTCTATTTTTGTATGCATTCATATATTCCCCTGCAAAGATATTTTAGCTCTGAGTATCTGTTTACATGCAGTCTAATAATCCGTTATTAATCTGACGGATAGCGCAGTCAGAATGATGGCTTTCATGTAAACACCAGTCAAAATATTGTGCTAACAGATTTTCTCTCTTACACTTACACAGAGATCTTTTGAACTAGTAATGGCTCGCTTAGTAGACTATGAGAATGTAGATCAGAAGCACTAGCTAAATGTAAAAATATGTGTGTAAAATTATTAAAAATTAAAATAGTTTCTGTAATTTCATGTACTATAAAAAAAGAAATGATGGGAAATTAAGCGTTATAATTGAGGCTATTTATAGCATGAGCTCTACAGGTGACATGCAGGCTGCCAGGTGCCGTGGGCACAGTGTTAGGGACCATTCACAAACACTGGATACAAGCTTATGATATTTAAAGGTTACAATAGTAGTAGTACACTTTATTGTCCTCGGAAGGAAAATTGTTGTGGACTACATGTTGCTGCATAGACATGCAGTAAACAAACAATAACAAAAATAAACCATAATAAAAACCTATCAAGATAAACACTTGTTAAACAGAAACACAGATACCAGTTCAAAATAATTCTCATATTGATTTGATTCACATATTGGGACTCAGTATCTTCTACCGGAGGGAAGCAGTTGTCGTAGTTGTAAGCTGTAGTTGTTCTACAGTCGTCTAAATGTGTTTTTTGTGTCCTCAGCTTCGTCTGGAGATGCTCATTTAAAGCTGCTGTCTGATGTGGCTCAGGCCGTGAAAGGTCAGGGTACCATCGCCTGGGTGAATTGTGGGTGAGTACCAATTGATTTAGCTCTTTTATTTGAGCAGGTTACTGCTATAGTGTATTTTTCTTGCCACTAATGTTGAGGCAGTTGACGTCCTGATCAACTAGTTGGTGTTGCTTTATTTCTAATACTGTCTTTACCAGGTGTGATGCAATAAATGCGGTATGAGGGTTATAGATGGTGTTTTTGGACTCACGAGGAGGTTTCTGGTCAAACAGTATGTTTATGTAGATATATATGATCCCCTAAGCCTACATTATTAGCTCATGTACACAGGTTGTGTCTGTGGTGATTACCTTGGATTACTGTGGTTTATCTTGTTCCATTGCATCCTTGTTCAGCTCATGCACGTGTCACAGCTCAGCATCTTCTGTCTGCCTCTGCTTTGAGAAAGAGATATCACAAAAGTTGTTTTGATGTTTCTGATGATTAGCAATAAAAGCTTGGTCTCTGAATCATTTCTCAATGGCTAGGTGGTAATTGGCAGGATGAGGCAGGCAATAAAAACTTTATCTTGTTAGCAGCTAAGCGCGCGCACACACAAAAAAATTATTTTAGCCTAGCCAATCCTTAAAGCACCTTTTTGAGACCGGCTTGGGTACACTGGGTAATGAACTTACAAAGATGGGTTTAAAAAAAGTAACTCCACACAGGCTGCAGTGTGGTAGAGCAAAGAAGAGAGAGATACGCCCACATGTTTCCTACAGATGACAGGGACCTGAGAGATGGCCAACTGCAGTCCACTGGGGGATACCATTAAGGAAGTAGGTCATGGACAGAGCGAGATCAGTATGAAGAAAATGGCAATGCAATAATTCTGGAATCTGAACAATCCAATGGGATTTTAAATGAAAACTTGAGAAAAAAAAAAAAACAGCTACTTTTTCTCAGAACCTTCAAACTTTACTTGATTTTCAACTCCGCAATTTGTCCACTCGACACACACTAAGCACTTTCAGCTATTTTGCCCCTTGGATATCCACTTTCAAACCCCCCTGGAAGCAAAAATTATTGACTTGACCCTTGACTCTCATGCTTTAGAACCGCTTTTGGTGCTCGAATAGGATTACCAATTATTTTGGTGTCCCGAACAGGGTTGTGGGGCTGGGGAGGGTATGAAGGGGCATATCTACGCATGTGTGCTCATTGCCATCTGTGATCCTGAGTCAGCTCGTTCGAGACACAGCATGTCTAATTGAGTTTCCCACCTGACAGACTGAGCTCTGATCTCCGCTGCACCTCTCTCAGTCCTCCCACAAAGGCGTTATGTGGGAAATGCGTAACACTAATGATAGCGTCTCATCTACCTTTAAGGAATGGAGCCGGTTGTGTGCAGATTCGGTCAGAAGCATAATTGAATTCCATCTCTTTGAATTTCCATTAGCATGGGGCTTTAGATCGCTGTGGAGTCCTCTCTGCTCCTATTTGTCCTTATGTAATACATTTCCATGCTCATTATCGCTCAAGGGAAGGGGAGTCTTTACAATGGAGAGATCTGGATCTCTTTGGGGGGGTGTGGGCGTATGTGTGGTGACAGTGGGACCAGGTAATTGTGGGTCCTTTCTGTTCTCAGGTTCTGTGAGTGTGAAGATAGAGTGCTTTGTTGCTGTTTTCATTTTTTTTTGTCATTGGCTGTATGACAAAGATGAATTTATCTGGAACTGGAGCTTTCATTTTTTTTTGTGCAGTGAATTTAGAAAGCACGGATTTTTGAATCCCTCCGCAGTTTCCCTTAAATAGGATACAAAATAGGGCCAGAAATCCCCTAAAAATGAAGCTTTTATGTTTTTTTTCAGCAACTGGCCAGTGAAAGTAGTTTGTTAACCTTCAGTTAACATAAGTTTTATACGAGAAGTTCTGTATTGTAATCTGTAAAAATTGATCAAATGGACTGGAATTTTTTTCTTCTCATCATGTAGAAAGGGTCATAATGATTTTACTTCTTGAGATAAAGACATACTGTATGATGTTTAATTATAGCTACTTTTCACACTACACAAACTATTATTTAACATAAAATTAACATACTATTTCTTACAATAAAAGCATGGAATTAATGCTTTAAAAGAGTCTTGGGATTCAAAGTGTAGCGCATTGTGGAATGTGCCCTAATGCCTATCACCACCAGTACCACATACTTGTACAAAATCCATTTAATGCGCAGGTCGTTTTAAAGCATGCTATTCTCCTGCAAAGAGTTGCTAAAGCGGAGCGGGAAGGAAAAAACACTTAACTCTTCTTATCTAGAGACCTGTGGCTCTGAATTAAAGCAAGCAGAGTTTATGTATAATACACTGTAGCAGCTGAATGTCTTGTCCTTCAAAAAGAGAAGAATGACAGCGTTTGACGAAACTTAGAAGTGGCCCTTACATTAGCTTATTTCGGTGGTCATCTGTCGCTTCCCATGAGCGATCTTGTATGGCTGCTACAGCAATTTATTTAATGTCTTGGGACATTAATTGTATCACTTCACTTTTTGGCTGCATCAATTTGCATGACAATGTCCTTTGATGACTTGTGTTATAATAGAATAATGTGATATTATAATATTTGTTGAGCAAAATTCACTATGACTTAATGTTCGCTTTCGCCTCTGAGTTTGCACAAAAAGTATGGAGTTAATTGATTGTGCTTGTGCATTTTTTAAAAATTTATTCTAGTTGCATGTTAAGTTCGAGCTTGCACTACTGTATGAAAGTTTGTGGTCAGTAATTTTTTGTATTTTATTTTTTATTTTTTTAATTGTACGTTTTTTTTTTTATTGTTTTAAAAAATCTTATTCCAATAAATGCTGTTCTTTTGAATGACTTTCTATTCATCAAAAAAATCTGAAAAAAACAAATGTATTTTTAAAAATCCTGAAAAAATGTTTCCAAAAATTTTTTTTAGCAGCTGTTTTAACATTGATTATAATAATGAATGTTTCTTGAGCACCATATCAGCATTTTAGAATAATTTCTAAAGGATCATGTGACGTGTTTTTGTTTTTAAATTTAATAATATTTTACAATATTAATGTCTTAATGTATTTACTGTACTGTACTTCTTAAAAAAAAAAAAATGTACCGACCCCAAACTTTTGAATTGTAGTGTACATCTTTTCATGCAAATATTAGATCCGTACCTCTAATCCAGTGGTTCTCAATTCCAGTCTGCACGTAGCACCGCTCTGCATATTTTGCATGTCTCTCTTATTTAACCCACCTGATTCCGATAACCAGCTCGTTAGAAGAGAGCTCCATGCATGAACTGTGTTCCGATTGACATGGTCCCTCCCTACACAGTGTTCATTGTGTGAAGTGTAACATAATAAAAATAAAAACAATAAATACCATTTAAATTCATGTCTCACATTTTAATGTGCACAGAATGGAACATATACGCTCCCTTCGAACTGGAATCATGGTGGAATATCCTGTGAAGTCCACTTCGACGGTCGAATAGAACAAACGTCTGAAGTGATAAGAGATAGGCTACATACAAAATGTGCAGAGCGGTGGTATGTGAGGACTGGAATTGAGAACCATTGCTCTAATCTCACAATGATTCACTATTAAAATGAAATGCATACAGCGAGTTGACCATTTTATGACCGTGAAAGATGATTCTGTAATGTCTTTTTTCAAAGTTTCTATCTATTCTCTCACCTCTTTTAGTCCATGGTGGCATTCCTGAAAGACCCTGCAGGTGCCCCCCTGTGGGAGGAGAACCCTGAGGCTAAAGTTGTTGTTCACATCGAGTCAGAGAAGGTAAGTATCGCTCGCTAAAACTCACTGCAGCAAAGATCGTTTTTCTGATGAGTATTTATCAGGTGTGGGAACTTAACACAGAACAAAAGACTTGTAGCTGAACAATCTGCAACAGAAGAACCTGTCTATTCTTCTGTCTCTAGAGGCTAAATCTGGCAGCTGGACAGGGTGTTCGGGAGTGTGGTATTAAATGCCCTAGCCTTACATTTTTGGACCATTTGGATATGTGAAAAAGAAAAAAAGTTAAATCTGAAGACAGATTCAGGAGGTTGTAATATTTCACCCTAAAATCCAAACGAAAGAAATAAGGAATTGTTTTTGCTTAAAAATTGGGAAAAAGAAAGAAAACAAGTTTTTTTTTTTTTTTTTAAGTAAAATTTTCATGACTTTTTTTACAGTAGAATTTTCATGACTTTTTTTTACAGTAGTGATAAACAGCATTTTTTCCAAGAAAGTCAAACTATGAATGGCTGCTCATTCAGTGTTAATGAAATACTTTACATACTTGGCATTGGAATAAATTGTGTACTTCATCTTTACTAGATTTAAAATAAACTGAGTCGAATATGTCCAGCAGTAGCCTTTTTTCAAAACAGAAATCACACTCTACAGATGGCAGTCAACAAGACACACTTTTTAGTAATGAAAGATTTGAAACATCTTTGAAGAGAACATTGATTTGTAATTTCTGACATTTTTTTGTTTTGTGCAATAGTGTGGTTTAGAGCCACCATTGATGGACAATTTTTTTTTATAATATTAAAAATATCTGTATGACATTATATTCTGCAGTTCTTCCCTGTTGTACTGAATATCTATACTTCTCAAATTATCATATCGATGTTAGAAATTCAAATATTGTGACAATTTATTTTGTAGGGTGCCACAAGTTTGTTAAAATTTCCAAAGGGTGCCGCGACTAAAAAAAGGTTGGGAAACACTGGTTTAGAGAGTCAATAATTAGCACTGTGCTGGTGTGTGATGAAGTAATGATGCAATATGCCATGTTAAAGAACGAGGCCAGGAAATCTCTACCCTTGTTTATTGCTTTTACTGAGATGACCTAAAACTTTTCTAAAGTTTATAGCCACTCAGCCCAGAGTGTTTGATTAAACTCATTTCATGCTGTTTGGTTTGCAGGACTTCCGGAAGCTGCTGAAAAGAGAGGAGCGGCCCATCCTCATGATGTTTTACGCCCCATGTGAGTCACTTCTGTCTGTAATCATCCACCACTAAACACTTCATATGATGCAAACTGTGTGCAGTCATGCAGGAAGTGCCATGTTCAAGCAAAACAAATCCTGCGAAGTGTGATTGTGTGTGCTTGAATCAATGTAGGTTGTGAATGCAGTCGAGATGTCATTAAGATGTCCAGCATTTGTCAGTGTGACATAAACAAGAGTTTAACTTCCAAAGACTTTTCTCATTCATCTTAATTCCTCATGTAGTGCTCATAGGAACCCAAAAGCTCATTAGAAATCAGCCAAAATCATATTTAGATCGACAGATGTGGGGAACCTCTGGGCAGTACCAAATCTTTTTTTTTTTTTCTGCCAAGACTCCAAACAGTAGCATCCATTGAAAAGTGCCTAACCTTAACCTGTAGCCATAGGGTTAATAAGACTATCACTATTACCTATTACCTTTTCTCATTTGAAAAAATACTTAAACTTTACACTACCTTTCAATAGTTTGGTGTTGGTAAAAAACAAGTGATAGTAAAGACATTGCAGAAGTTGCAGAAGACTTACATTTTAAATGCATGTTCTTTTGATAGTTTGATAGATTGTATATTCATCAAAGAATCCTGAAAAGGATTCACTGAAACACTGTTTTAACATGAGAAATGTTTCTTGAGCACCAAATCAGCACTTAAGAATGATTTCTGAAGGATCGTGTGAAGACTGCTGAAAATTCAGCTTTGCCATAACAGGAATACATTATATTTGAAAACTGTTATTTTATATTGTAAAAATATTTCACAATTTTACAGTTTTTACTGTATTTTTTTATACAGTAAATGCAGTATTGGTGAACATAAGAGGTTTCCTTTAAAAACATTCAAATATCTTACCGACCCCAAACTTTTGAATGGTAATGTAAGTAATAAACTTTGGTGTATAACTATGAACATGGTATTATAATATTAATATTGAGTAATATTGTGCAGCCTTTCTGTGCAAAAACATGGCATGGTCACCTTTATCATTGTTTGACAAATTTTTGCGTGTGAAATCTAGTCATTTCAATAGGAATGTGTGCGACCATGAATTTTGAAAGATTCCCCCACACAAATTTTGCAATGCTTCAATTTGGTCACATGGAAAAGTGTTATTTTGAAAGTGTCATCTGTGTGAGCTGTGATTCATACATTGCTACATTTGGGGCAATAGGCTCTGGACCTTTTTTCACTAATGCACCTTAAACTGTAAAATCTCTTCTGCGTGTAGGGTGCGGCGTATGTAAAAGGATGCAGCCCATTTTCCAGCAAGCAGCCACTGAGACAAAAGGGAAATATGTAAGTACATAGGTCTTAAATAAGTCTTAAAATGTCTTCAATTCAGATTCAGTGGGTCTTAAATATTTTTGGTCACATTACTGCAAAACTTTCTCCTGCTGTAGTTACCACATCATTAGAAAGAATTGTGGTAGCAGAATCCAGTCGAACACCAGCTAGCTGACCAGCATCCTAGCATGCTTTAAATGGGTTAATGCAAGTTTACTGAAAAATGGCTCAAGAATTTTACTTGCCCAATGGGACAATTAGTCTGATTAAAACTTAAGTGACAAAAAATAACTAGTGACGCATTCTGATTTTATTACATTCAGCTTAAACAGTGATTGATAATGGATAGTGTATTTCTGATATCAGTGTCTGTGAGAGACTTTCATGGAGAAATCAAATCAAATGAGCATAATGGCACACATAAAGAAACTCATAGAACAAACATACTGAGGTTAAAAATTCTAAATGTTTAGTTTGTTTATGACATGATTTAGTTAAGTAACACCATGACAAGGGAGCTATTTTGCTGAATATTTTCACAATTGCAAATGTTACATTGATTTTAGTTCAACAAACAAGTAATGAAGTGTATGTTACTTAGGGTGACCATACGTGCCATTTTTCCAGGACGCGTCCTGGGAAAATGGCACGTATGGTCACCCTAATGTTACTTACATTTTAGACACTATTGACTGTTTTGTTCTATTTCACCAACGAAAATAGTTCCAAACAAAGATCAGAACAAAAGTATAGCACATTCTCCGAGCAACACTGTTACTGAATGATTCAGCTTTTTGAAGGAATCTGTTGAATCGGTTTAGTCTCATGTTTAAAAGTATTTTCTCCAAACGTTTCTTATCTGTATATTCAAAATTTTATTTAAAACATTAATCTCATAAAATTTATTTAATTTGATTGGTAACAGCCCTGTAGTGTATATTGAATTTTTTTTATCAATTGTAAGAATTTTACATGAAAGATATTTTTTTTAAAGGTAAAAAACATCCTGGGGTAAATATTAAAAACATGCAGATATAAGTATGTAAAAGCTGATAGAACACTGATGAAAATAATGCTTCTGAATAAATCATTTACACCACCAAAAATCTCAGTGATGCGGTGCTTTTGTGGGGATGTTTTATATGAGATATTGTCTGCTGATATGAAAAGTTCACTGTATATCATAATAATAATAATAGCATTTTTGACAACAATGATATTTTGTTTTCTTTTTACATTAAACACATTAAATATTACATATACGTATGTAATATAATGTGTATTTCCATCACAGGCTTGGTCTTAAATTTCACATAAGGTGGTATTAAAAAGGTTT